TATTTATATATATATAAACTAAAATTAGAAATATATTTATATGTAAAAATTTATATTATTTTACTTTTTTATTTTTTTTTTAAATTTATTCATATTTATTTAAAAGAAAAAAAGAAAAAAAAATAAGAGCGGGGGTGGGGGCAGGGCGGGGAAACCCAAACCTCGTTGAGAGTGGGGATGGGTACCCAGATTTTACCCTCGACGGGTATCGGGAGCGGGGGCGGGGAACGTAAAACATGCCCCATTGCCATGCCTAGTAAAACTAGCTAAAACCAAATTAAATTGCAATTAAATTTTTTTTCCAAATGTGTTGATATTGAATCATACAGTCTCACATGATTTTATATTAGTGTAAAAGAGACACTTCGTGTTTTTATATATTTCATTTAAAAATGAAAAAATAGAAATAATAGAGATTATAACATATAAATCAAGTGAAAAAATGTATAATTAGAAAAGTTTATGTAACATTGTACAATTTTATTTATTATTGTTGATTTAGTTGAAATATATGTTGTGGTGATTTTGTGCTTTAATTGTTGAGAAACTCTAGAATTATGAAATTCCTTATGTGGTTTTAGTTCTTTACGGTGTACTTGAGCAAAAGTCAAGTTTGATCTGTAGAGGAGGGTATATAAGGTCTTTCCTTAGAAATGACTTACTAATTTCAATTTCTTTAGAGAGTTAGAGAAAGTTTAGAGAGAATAACTCTAGAGTTGAAGTGAAGCATTTCTCTTCAACTTCACAAAATTTCTTCTACCCTTCCCCCTGAGAGCAATTGTAGTTACTAGTTGGTGATTCAAGCTTTCGAGCATGAATCAAATTCCTTGTTGGTGGTGGTGCAGAGTTCTCAAAGTTTTAACCTTCTTCTTCTTCTTCTTCTTCTTTCTTTGATTCTCTTGGAGCTAGAGGCAAGAAAAGCTAGATTTTAGAAATTTGTTGACTTATGTTGTTTCATGTGCTTGAATTTATCCAAATTCATGGCTAAGTTGATGATTATGGAGTGAAATGGATATGTGTGAAGTTTGATGTTCTTAAAGCATGTTGGGATGAATTTTGGTGAATCCTACTTGGAATGGTTGCATGTTGTTATCTGGGTTGGAATTGGATTGCGTATGTTGTATATATGTCATTTTTACCCTTACATGTTGTATTTTTTTAGTTTTAGAAATAGATTGAGGCAAATCATGATTATGCCAAGTGTAGAAATCACCATGACATCGAGCACATATTCAAGGCGTCGAGCGTGACACGGGTTGGAGACTCTCTACCTCACTGACCCCAAACCTAGGACTGGTGGTGTTAGGCATAAGTAGAGGAAAGATCTCTAACTTAGTCACACTAGACGTGGGTTGAATGACGTTAGGTATGGTGAGAGATAAAAGTCTCTAACTTGGTGACACTAAGCCCAAGTTGAATGGTGCCAAGCATGACCAAGATAGAGATTTTCTACCTAGACGACATCGAACGCCAATTTAGTGACACTAGATGTGAGTCAAGTAGAGATTCTCTACTTAAAATGATGTCAAGCATGGAGTTTAGCCACGTCAGGCATGAGAGCAATAGAGGCTCTCTTTCTCATCTACATTGACGCAAGTCAAATGGCATTAGGTGTGGGAGACCCGAGAGTTCTTTATCTCAATGATGCTTGGCACAGGAAGAATGATGTCAGGCGTGGGTTGTCTATTTAATGTATTATTTTTTGTTTAAGAGTTGAACATTGTATGAGTAATATGAGAGTTTATATGTTGTATGATATAATTTATTTATACATTGATCTATATAGTTGATTAAACCATTGGAGTATAGCATGAGTTGTATGATATACCATGTTGAGTAGTTGTGTTGAGAATGCTTAAGGCATGGAGTTGTGTTAAGTTGATTAACTTAGGACTAGATGAGATATTTCTTAAAAGTTGGATATCCCATTATAAGGATATTATTATGATGTTCTGTGAGTCCAATTGTTGAAAATTCTTCTTGAGTAGTTAACTCTTGAAGTGGATAGTTGAGTCTCATTTAAGACCTTAGTTAATGTGATATGCTGGCAAGGTTGAGACATACTGTCTATAAGCGACCACAGTATAGGAATCAGGTCAAACTATACTGATTATAAGTGACCAATATTAATCTGTATGTGGGAAAGGTCAAGGTATATGT